TATTTTGAGGACGACAGCAGCTGAACAAAATCACACCATCGGGTCTCAGGCTCTGAAAAGATTTTGGAGATTCCAAACATTTGAGAACATCAAAAGTGCTAAGACCACGAAAGTCATTGACCATGTCATTGGTTACATTGCGGACTAAAGCAACATTAGGAGAGCGTGTGGAAGATTTCTTGAGAGTACCTACATCAACAGAGGGGACATTAATACTTTGCTTAACACAACCTGTAATTTCATTGAAAGCTGTCCACATGTTTCCTGAAATGCTGCTGTCTAGGAGCAAAACTCAAACTTTATCTCAGACTGTTTATTTTTTTCTTCACCATATTCTTCAAGCTAACTTGTTTCATTACACAGCATGTGATCCTGGATCAGAATAACAGACACTGGCATAGATCACATTTGTCGCATAATAAACAATAAGTCACGTGATCACATGTCAAATATCCGAAAACAACAGGTTACAGTCTAGGTTCCTAGGAAAGACGATTGTTCAGTCGTAGTGGATTCCTGAAGGATACTTCACTTAAAAGTTGATACTGAAAGTGTCCTCCTAAAGGACGTTGGAAGCCTTCCAATTAAATCATCTAGTTCCGGGAACACAGCATGGCCAAAAAGCACAAGAACTTGCCTAATTCACACTGATTAACAGCTATCATCTTGAAAGACACATCAAGTATAGTATTACAAAACAATGAGAAAATCCTGTCATCTTCCTCATAGTTTGGAACACCGTCTATTTAACTTGTGTTAGATAAGTCTGTATTATTAACCGGGTGAGTTTACTTCCAGATGTACTCTATTAGTTAGTAGTTTTCTGGAAAAGAGCTAGGAAAGTAAAGGAGAAGCAGGCACAAATGTAGATAAGGTGAATATAGACTGAAATGAAGTTGGAGTTGAGTGTTAGCCACGATTGTTACGAAAGTGGACTTTATTTTATTCCCTTAATTGAGTATGTGAATGCAATGACGAATGTAGAAAAATATTAGATAACTTCAGAGAAGCAATCGAAAGCGGGGAATTCAGCTGTGTTCACAAGAAAGCTTAGGTAACAATAAATGTCCGAGTTACAGGTTTGTCAATGAAACGTGGGGGTGGGGGGAGCGCAGAAGAAGGAGATCACCAACAAATATTAGTAGAGAAATTTTTATCCGATCGTAGACCGAGGTACACAGATGGGTGGGTATATGTCTCCTGGATTCAGATATCAGGTTTTATGGCACTGATTACTACCACTTCAGTCACATATAGGAGACGTAGTCGCCTCCTTTTTCATAGTTTCCTAGGACTACGAAATATCACGGAAAACGTCCGTACAGGCGGCTGAAATGGGAACCATTTTCTCAGTCAAACTGGTATTCACGTAGCTAGTCAATGATAAATTACTGCCGGTGACCTCTTCACTCTTTATCCAAACGTTCAACTGCTCCTGCAAAGCTGACTTAATAGACCATACTCGGATGACCTTATCTGCACACCTTGAAAACTCGCCAGTATTGTTAGGTAAGAGAGGAACTAAATGTATCAGCAGTGTGGTCTTATCTCTGCTTTAGATGGTGTGCGTCGAGCTGACGATGGCCAACTTCCACTGGGACCACACCACATGATCATTTTATCAGGGTTGTTTGTCATCTCTTGAACTGACCTCCAGAGTTAACCTATTTGTAGTATTCACATTTTCTCTCACTCCACAGATTATAACTCAAACTCTGTTTTGTTGGCCAGAAATTTACGAGCGCCATTTCAGTGTTTCATCTCATGCCCGCATTGCCTGTACCACGTAAATTACAGGCGAAACTAACTGTTTACTAATCCTTCTTCTACTTTATCTCTAATTGATCTTATGAACCACAACGCGCTGTCCGACATAATATTAGTTTGCCTTTACTATCTATTGTGGGCCGATATCAGTTGAGTCTGAGGATTAAGTTATTTAAACGACTCATCACTCCAGTTATTCGTCCCTTTTAAACGTCATGACGATACTCTGATTGAATGTTACTTTGTGGTATTTAAAATTTGTCACGCTGATATAGATCCTGTATTTACGACAAAAGAATCACACCGAGTGATTCGACTTGTGTTTAAAGATGCCTCAGGTAGATGATTTACTCTGTGTTCATGAATGACATTTCGTCGTTTAGCTAATTTCTTGGTTGGTGGATAAGAGTTTCGCTTAGACGAAACTGGATAATTTTGACATGGCCCGGTAGTTCGACTGATGTACTTCACTTATTCTTTCACTCTGGAAGCATTCTATGAAGAATGACTCATACTGTCTTGCATCTTATCATGACATGAACTATTTGACAAATCTGGTCTGGAGAAAGTTTTTCTTGATCGGATAATCATGCAGCTTTGAGAGCTGTTATACCTCATGGAATCAGAGTTTAGTGGTAGACAGATGTGAATGGTAAATTAACAAACTTTCTCTTAAGAGGTGATCGAAAACACTGAACCTCATTGACAACAATCATTTATTACACCATCAGCATGCATTCGGATTGTTTCATGAATATAAAGTTGTACAGAGTCAAATAAATCTTAAGCTAACTTAGAACCGGTTGAAAACATCACATGAATTAATTAGCATACTCAGTGAAATATAGATGTTTATGTTAACTGAACCCGCTTCGTCATTTGAAGTTTATGTTCTTTGAAATTCCCCAATGAGTCATATAAAAGAAAAGGCGTTCAATGAAGAGTTACTCTTTTCGGTGATGTCATTCTCAAGCTGTACACTCAGATATAAATATTGTAAATTCTGTTGTCGAAAAAAGGAGTATGTGCAAGTGGACATTCCCAAAGCATTCGACGTTACACTAATTGCTGTCTAAAACTTACGATTCTAATGACACATATTTGAAAATATTCCTTTGGTCACCAAGAGAATTCACAATGGACATACATATATATACATATATGTAAAATTTTACACCTTGAGAATGACACCGTCGAAAAGAGTAACTCTTCACTGAACGCCTTTTCTTTTAATAATATGTGCAAAGACTTATCCAAATGAACAGCCTACTATCCAGTAATTCATCCAAAGCTTGTTATTTTTGTGTGTAGACGGAAACGCATGTCAAATAGTAATGGGATTTCCAAGATATCGGTTCCTTGAAGTGATGACGAAATGTTTTGTCGTTTTAGGCATTGTATATCATAAGGATGAAATTTCAACCATTTTAAAATATTCCAAATTCAAACAATTAGTCTCTGTGATAAATTTGAATAAGACATTTAGAAGAGACGTCTCGCGAGATGATATCATTAGTTTGTTAGTTTCTTCACAACCCCTTTACAACTAACATGGTTCACAATAATAAAATGGAATGCATGACAATTACTCAGTTATATAAAACAAAAGTACATACTAATGACTGGTCTATATTTATACAGTCAAGTAGTCCATGGTAGGTGAAGGTTGAAGTCTATTGTGTTTTGTACACATAGTTTAGGATGTATGTGATTAATTCAAAGTGCTTCCATCACCTTCAATAACCTTGAATTAGAGTTATGTGAAGTAATCATGAATCAGTCATTAATATTGATTTTGTGACCTGACATTGATAAGCGGTTTTCAATGAGTGATGATGGATTTCTATTCAGATTAATTGCATTGGGATTTACTATACGTTTTCATAGTCATTATGGGACATGTTCTTTTCGACGACATTGGAACATTCTATTGGTTCTACCTACATAGATGTCAACACAACTGCAGATGAACTTGTAGATACAGTTAGAAGTAGAGTCCAGTGAATTTCGTCCTTTAATCGTAGGTACAGGGATCGAAAATGTTCTAGATGCAGAGGGGGAAGAGATGCAACGTAGAGTGCGTGCTTGATGGCTGACCGAAGTCTCTGAGCCGTCAACCGCAAAATGTGATCAGCCTTGAATGGTAGGTTAACAAAGATGGCTTTCCTTGGAGCAGAAGCTGTCTTTTCAGGATGTGGTCTATCCTCACTGTGACAATTGATAAAGTTTTCTGGATAACCACTAGCTAATAAAACTGAATGTACGTGTCGAAGCTCACCCATCAATGTGTCGCTCGTACATACTTTGTGGGCCCTTGAAAACGAACATTTCATGAGGGAACGTTTATACTGGATAGGAACGAAACCGGTGAAATGAAGATATTATCCACTCCATGTCTGTCTACTAAGTATGGATCGCTTAATCGTTACATCGGCTCTCCTGGTCATTGAAATATCCAGGAAACCGAGTTTGTCATTCAGATCGAGCTCGGAAGTCACTCGGATGTTTGGATGAATATGATTATATAGAGTAATACAGTTTTCGATAGACTCACTTTTATTACCGATAATTTCAGACATCGCGGTAGACTGTAATTAATTCCACATTAGATAGATTTATTTTTGAACATCACACAGAGATGCAGTATTGACAACTGGATGACACTTCGAAGCCAAGTGATTGTTAATGTCGCATCACTGCGTGGTACTTGAAGATATTTTCTCTTCTCCTTTAACGCGCTGGGAATATTTTAAAATATTTATAATGATTCAGTCTGACTCGGAGGTCAAATCATTCCAGGAAATTCGTAAGATCTACGGTCTGGAAACTTATGATCTTATTTCAAAATATGTTTGCGAAAATGGAATCTGTGGGATGGTAGAATGCCTACTACCCTTCCAACTGCTACGTCACTTTATCGGGGACATAACATTGATGCTACTCTGAGGTATTTATTCTATAAGACACTCAGGATATGAATACTGCCTGACTGTTAGTTGACCACAAATTGATGTATGCTTTACATGCCGGTTATCCGCTGACGGGTTGCGACCTTTACAAAGTTAGTCACAGAAATATATCTGGTTCCTGGGTTGACAGCTTGCATTTATGGGAAGGAGATATATTGTTTACCATAAATTGGGCTAGACTATTTGGGATTAGGTCAATAACAAGTTAATTGGAAAGACATATAGAAAATTTCACTTGTGCCTCACTTTTAGGAATTCAAAATAATGCAGCCTTCGTGGGTCAGTTCGCCCTTGAAACTACTTATTCTCCTGTTGATATTCTTCGGTTTCATGTATGTATTCTACTTGGTGGGCATGAAGTCAGATGAACATGGTCCAATATTTGTCGTCAACTACACATCGGTCCTTGATAATCAGTTGAAAGAGGTAGGTCGTATTTCTGTTCGTATCCTGCTTCTTTTAAATAACAGTATTTTCACTGCAAATGTGTCCATACTCGATGGTCATTTTTATTCTTTTACTGGAACAGGCTTGTCGACAAAATGATACCAGTGAACGAAAGTTGTGAAATTCGAAACCACCATTAATGTTTGAGTTTCTTCGGCTCTAAAATATCCCATCAGTCTCAAGATATCCTTCCTAATCTGAAGGTCGACACGCCTCTGACTTATTCTGTTTTCTCATTGTCTATCCTTCTACGTCCACAACTGGAGACTTTACTACTTGACTGTCTCCAGTGACTGCATATGCATTTCACAAGTATTTAGGTGGTATCTAAATTGTTAGATCGTAGTCAACTGCTTGGACAGAGTTTTCACTAGGCCTATAGATTGACTGTGGAGAATGACAATTCCGAAAGTATTCCAGTGGTATGCGATAAACGAGTGAATAATTCTGTTTGTTTGTCTACCGTTTAAATTGGTTACCTAGTCGTGAAGAAAATGTGACTATATTCGAGTGAGGGATACTCTGTTGTACCACTGAATCGTTTATATGTCAAAGCCAACAATTTTCAAACACGTCCCAACGCCTTTTGTGAGTTTCTATCTGTAACCACACAAGTAGGTGAGATGTGATAGGATCTGCGCTTGTTATTTTTAAATTCCAACTTCATGATATTTATCTTTACCCAAGGTTCTTTCAGTACGATATCAATAAAAGAGTCACTAAACTTAACCTAAAATCAAACTTAATTGCATCAGCATATACAACGGAGAGGGATTTAACAATTATTAATGATTAATAATAAACTGCCAGTAAACTCCGACAATCACACAACCGCTGAACCGAAACTAAAGTTTCCTTCGCAACGTCTGATGAAACAGACACACAGAAGTAGAGGAGAGAAGGCGGGAGGTGGGGGGATAAGCGAAATTGCACTCAAAACAAGGTGCGTCATACACACAAAAATATCATGTAGATGCCAATGGACCAAGTAAAATATTCTATGTCGTTTCGAGTTAAAAATGTTAAAAAAGTTCAAAACAAGCAGTGTGACACGTAGATCTGATGGAGCAATCAGTCATTCTTTCCAGCAAGCATTGTTTCCGTGGTAGATACTGAAAATAGTAGATTTTGCTGCATTACTGGGGATCGAATGTGTCCGAATATGGTTGAGGTATAACAATGATATTCCAAGTATTAGGCTTATTTCAGACGTTTAGACACCTATTTTAAGTAGTAGAAACGCACAGATAGTGGCCCAAACAATCCGTTTGCTGTTCATATCAAGTTGGTTTCACATTGTTTGTTTGTTTGTTTGTTGATTGGATGGAAAATGTTTACAAACTATTAAATATGAGCGGAGTGAAATTCAAATAGCCGTATTTTCCCAGTTGACTCTACCTTGAGGCTGTAAAATACTTGTGCGTTTACAGTTGACTTCGTCAATTACCTTCAGCATATTTTTACTCTTAAACGAACTAATCATGACTTACATTGATAAAAAGAAAGAAACTGCTACTCGTGAGGAACAGTAAGTAGTATGTAGGAGGTAAGTCTAAGGAAACACAATAATTCTGCTCAGAGATTATCTTTTTCATTTCACTGAAATAAGATAATGTTGCTAGAACTTGAACTAAGCACATGCTCCTTTGGAAATGAAAACATACAAACAAATAATAAACCAGTACGTTCACGAAGTGTGAATATGGAGAAGACCTTCAAATCACCACTAAAAGCATTCTGCATGCGAATACACTTTCTTATACTAGAAGATGGTTGTTTTATTTCCATTTCAGGTGGGCTGTTATCGACTCAAATATGACCAGGGTAAGTTGCTTCCGCGGACGTTTTAAACTGACATCTGCACAAATTCATACGAATAGCTCTCTTTGTTATCCTAATGTAATATTACTGTGATGGAGTATACCTTATTACACTTTTTAGACTAGTCGTTGTTGATTAGTGGCGATAATGCAATATAATTCCAATCGTCAGATTTCTTCACTAACCAACATCAGTCAGAGGGATAGCTGGAAACCAGGGAGTACTGGGAAGCTGTGTAGATCTATTTCAGGACTCACCAGCGGTGTGTCAACACGACCCTTACAATGAACGAACTCCAAACATTCAGGTTACGAGGCTGAAATCCTAGACCACTCAGTCACGTGGGCTGGGATTCAGTGACCCACGAATTCTAATTTTGTCAACTGGAGTGAGGAGTCGTGACTGTTGGAGCTCACGATGTCAGGGTGAAGTGGATGCTCATCGAAGGCATTGGTGAGAGTAGCTCCGTATCGGGAGATGACAAAGTCAGAATTCACGGGTCAGTGAATTCCGGCCCACCTAGTTGAGTGGTCAGCCACCAATGTCTCGTAACCTGAAGATCCTGAGTTGGGTCCGTATTGAGGTCATTGGTGTGCACTATTCAGTGGTTCCTAAATAGAACGGTGAAGCTGTGTGGCACCCCCTGGTTTCCACCTATTTCCCTTACTCATACAGAAGCCCAGCTGTATCATTTAGCATACAAAATTTAGTGAAGAAATTCTGTTGTAAGATTACTGTTACTGAGTTGTGAAGGTGTAGTTCATAAATGGTTTATTGAGGACGATAGCACGTGAGAAAATTCAAGCAGTAGGTGTCAACAGTGAAAAGTGTGTTATTTACTTGAAAGTGAAGAAACATTAGGTTAAATAAAACAAGATAAATATTGGAAGACTTAAGACTGAGAAGGAGGGGGATTACTTACAATACTCTTAGTAAAACAATCCGATGAGGATTGACGAGTTAGCTTGAGTGAGTGGGAGGGGCCGTCAAATTTCGCACATTACCCCATTAGTAGTCCTTGTTGGATTAAATTGGCGAGAGTATTGTCAATTAATATTCCGATTAGTCCTAAATACTCCAGTATTTTCTTTATTTCACTTGCCGTTTCACCTTCTTGAATTCTCATATGAACTCAATAGACAGGTAGATGTTTGGTGAGATTGATCGGTATGCCCCTAACAATCATCAAATGTTCCCAATTATATTTGTAATTAAACATCCAACGACAACAAGGTAAATTGCATCATGCACAAAATCGTGCATGGAATGCAGAAATCTTCGAAAAGTGTGTAAAACTAGTAAGATTAATAGACGAAAGGAGACACTACTCAGGGAGCTGAGAAGTAGGGTGAAGTAAAGTGTTGCATGATTTTACTACAAGAGAGAAGTAAAACAGTGATGGAAACTGTCACAAAGTGAAATTAATTCACAGTAACAGTGGTGGTAATAAGGGAAGGATGCAAAGAGCGATTTAACAGGCAAAAACACAAGTGTTTGTGTCGCTCTTTTCTGTCCTAAGGCCGAGATGGAAAGGCAGCTGTACATACTTCTTTATTGCACAAATTTCTAGCTTCATCTCATGCAAAGCCAAGCCTCATCTGTTTCTAGAAGTTGGGTTTGTGGAAAACGCGGCCAATTTGCATGAATCAATCATTTCTGATGATAGAAGTAACTTCACTCTTCACGTTATTTTATGAAATAAACAGAAGAGAAATTCTCTTTCTATATCCTCAGTGGGTCGTCTACAGCCATCTCTGAATCTACTAACTTGGCCACAGTTGGAAGCCAAATATGCATCTTCTCAGCCAAGGGATTACATTGTGCTCAACAACTCAGCAGAAAATTCCGATTTAAAACCTTTATTTGGATCACTTTACACTAGATATGATGCAGCATTGCCAAACGTTACAAGTGTATCAAATGAAAGTGATGAAAGCGAAAAAGTCACCGAAAAGCACAGTTTACCTAAAATATGGACTCCAATGGGTTGTTCTACTAGCATGTCATCAGCTATAATCATTCCATATCGTAATCGCGATGAACACCTACGCATTGTAACAAATCATCTACATGCGTTTATAAGGCACCAAAAAATACCATATACCATTTTCGTGATTGAACAGGTAGGTTTATTATGAATAATATATAGAAGTATAAAGCTATTGTTCCATTATTGTAAGAGCGGAATTTCAGCGCTGTCGCAGTGTGAGATTCTATGTCATAAAAATGTATTCGATGTAACCCTATGTGAAACAGTGTTAATAACTAGATGACGTTTCGACGACAGTCTCTTATTCATCTTACCAATGCATTCACACGACTCGATAAATTGCCCTACATAGTCCTGCATTCTTACGATTATGAACATTGAATTGTAGTCGAAGCGACACCCAGTCATCAATACTAGATCACCGTGCGTTATTTTGAATGTACTTATCTGGCGTACTAATATTTTTCTTCAATACACATACAAAATAGGAGATCTACTAGATGACACATTCTCGTTCAAACTTTAAGAACTTACTCTCAAAACAATTTCCCATTTTGCCTAGATCTTGTGTAGTTATGAACACAGACTACGCTTTCACATACCATCACCTTGACACTAACAAGTATTCTTGATTAGACAAAGGGAAAATTCTAATCACAAAAGGTCGTGTAGGTCACTGAACAGATGGAATTTCTGTAATTTTGGAGTTCATTGTAATTTTTTCTTAAGTTTTTCAACATTCAATAAAGATTTATCCGTTTCCGTTGAACGAGTAATCGCATGGCGAGAGACTTAGTTCTATTCCTTCTGACACGCATCATTTGTGCGAGAATGAAACATTAGGTCTCTGTAGAGAGAATTTAAATTTCACCCGGGTTGTCTTTGCACTGAGTAGGTCTCCTGCCTGAACATTATCCCCCATGGCTGGTATGAAATAGGAGCGTGGAAACAGGAGAAAACAGGCGACTCATTCGAATTTCTCAGGTTCAAATCTATCAGTTTCAGTCATTACAGTAGAACAAGCGTAGACTGTCACTTCAAGTCATCGTAGGTGATTTAAAATAATTCCAGCGTGTTTGAGAAAAAATCGAAGCAAGATATCGTCGAACGTTTCGCTGTGTAAGCGAGAGTTTCTGCAGAAGAATCATTCGGATATTATTAACTATCAAAAGATATATTTTGGTGATTACATAGGTTTTCATACATCCTATTGATACCCTTCAAATATGTTGTCACTGCACTTTTGTATTCAGAGGTTATTTATCACAACGTTGACAGAAGAAAAGTTGGGTTTAGGCCTTAGGAATTACAAGTACTTGTTTTCCTCTGCGACTCCGCGTTGTAAAATTTATGATTTCTTTATTGCTTTCTTGCAGACCGGTAAAACTAAATTTAACCGTGGTGCTCTCTTAAATGCTGGGTTTCTTGAGGTTTCAAAGTTGCAGGAGTATAGCTGTTTCATTTTACACGATGTGGACAAACTGCCTGAAGATGACCGTCTTACTTATACGTGTAATTCACGTCCGACGCACTTTTCCTCTGCACTTAGTCAGAATGATTACAAGTCAGTTGAAAGTTTCCAAACTCAATAAAAAATTAATATTTTTCACTAGATGATAAGTTATACCTATCAGTATTCACAAAGTTACCTTACAAGACGTTACACTTTTGCCAGTTTCCACAAAATTAATGTGATAGTAAAAAGGGTGTGAAAGTCAAAAACAGGGTATTTCTAAGTTTTATGTCACTGCTTATCTGTGGCGAGATCAGCCATTCGATTCGTTCTGTGTGGAATTATTTAGACTGAGCCTTGTGTATCCAGGTAACCATTAAACTCACAGAAGTTGGACGATTCATTCCATGCTTTTCTGATGCTTTCTGTACACGTGAAAAGGCAATCAGAGAAAATTGATTGGATTCTAGAGTAGAATTTAAGTAAATGGAAATCCTGAGTTTCTAGTATACGATATTCTTCTTCATGTTTAATGATAGTCATCAGTGTACCTCTTTTCTTTGGTGAAAGAGGACTGTATCTCATTGAATAAAGTACCAAAATATGATACGATTTACTTTCTACTTCTTCTGGTGAATTTCCATTGAACACACAATTCAAATAAATAGAATTCACGGTCACATCCTCAGTAAAATGTGTTGGCCAATCCCTCCAAAAACGTTGATTATCTCTCTTTTATATCCTAGTCAAAATTTGTTTACAAAATATTATTCCTCTGCATTAACTCTCATAAACCTCAAAATTATTATCACCTGAAATTTTCCCACATCTTACAGTGGCGACTAATTTCCAGAATACGAAGGTGTTAAAAGAAACGAGGCATATGTCGAGCTGTTACAATTTTGAAATGTGAATTCAAGCTATTTTACTTTTATTGAGTAAGACTATTGTTCTCAGTTACTAGCGAGTTATGAAAGTATTCAATAAGTAGGAGAAATTAAGGACATGACGGCTTCTTCAGAGTATTCTTGTTTTCCTTCATCGCCACTTTATCTCCTCTTTTAATGTGTCAGTGACAGGAATCAATAATTCCTTTGAGTAATTATGACGAGAGATGTAACCGCATCATGCAAAGTGACACTGACTGATGGATATTAGTAATTGAACGCCGATTGCACACACTAGTAGTTCTTCGTAGGCAGACCGAAGAGATCCGGACACAAAAGTTTTAACATTCTTTTCTGAGTAAAGGGCTCATTTAATGGAGTTGACAAATACCAGTCGTCTGTATACTGCATTACATTTGAATCCAAGTTCAGAACAGAGTTTATGTTTGTCATTATTATGATCACTGGGCTCGAACTCGGTTATTTAAGTACACAATTATCTGAAAATCATGCGATAATCTCTCCACATCGGTTTATTATGTTCACAAAGTATTCTCACTTAATTCGCCTCTTCATCACCAGTGTATTTATTAGGAAGCCGAAATCAGTTCTCCTCTGAAATGCATCATAAGTAATCCATGAAGCAATAATGCATATCATTTTCTCTGTTGCAATCCAATCAACCAAGTATCAGTGTGTTAGATGGCTGAAGGCGACTGGCAAGTAGCCCTGGATCTGATTCTCGCGACACTTGTTGACACTCGTCAGCAATGTGTGCCCACAAGCTGGAAGGAACTGATGCACGCCCCCAGATACGAACCTGCGTCTATCAACGCAGTGGCCAGACACTTAAATCACGGACAATAAGTAATTGTGTATGGCTGTATCTTAAGAACATGCTTCTAAACGTGTTTGCTATAAAATGTTTGAAGACAACGGATACGCTGTCTTCATTTATTTTATTTTTGATTATAGTTTGATTACATACCGTATTTTCCATAGAAGTATGAAATTGTCAGCATGTGATATCAGTAGCGAAAATTTTCCTGGCCGACCATAGATATCAGGTGTCCGTTGGCTGGGGATCAAACCCCAGATTATGTGCACGGTCGGTGAGAGTCCCAACCGATGAATGGAGTTCGGTCTTTGATGCATTTGAATTATCTGTGCAAATTTAAATGCACAAATTTACCTAAGTCAAGAAAGACAGTCAGATGTTTCACAATTCACAAGAATTGCTATTTCGAAAGATATGAGTGCTTCATGCCGATTAGCATCTAAAAAGCATCTACTTCCAATCACACGACACTGGAGTCACTTTTAACTCTGCCTATCAGTTACTATTCTCTCGAATCTGAACACCTAAAATATTTGTAGCTTCAACTGGTTTTCTTTCCACTGACTGTGTCATTGCTCAAGCCTTAACAGTGAAGAGATATTTTGTTGAATTCAGGGAATTCAACTTTATAACGTCACCGAAGAGACGTCCTGCAACAGACAGAATGACGTCAAAAGTTTACCTTCAACCTAATTTCATTTAGGATTACTATTGTCTTCCACTGATGGTTGTGAACACGTTCTAGCAGTCAGAAGGTTATAACTTGACTTGACTATTTTACTTTTGTGTTCTTCAAACTTGGTGGGTCCTCTGAGACTATTGTTATACTCACTTACTCACTTACTTACTTACCTACATTCTTACTTGCTCACTTACTGTTTTATGGCTTGAAAATGTCTGTTTCGAAGAATCGGATTTATAGGTGATCATAGTAAGAATATAATTTTGATTTTGCCTGTTTTCGTGTAGAGTACTGTATAGGGATTTTTTCGGTGGTGTTGTGGCATTTACACGTGAACAGTTTCTGGAAATAAATGGATTTTCAAACCTATATGAAGGATGGGGTGGTGAGGATGATGATTTATTGACTCGAGTTAGTCAATCCAAATATGGGGTATTTCGAATCAGTACAGATATTGGTCGTTACTATACACTGAGTCATGCCACTGATAAGTTGAATGAAGTCAATCCAGACCGGTAAGCTGCTTTGTGATAATATCTCAGTGTTATTTCTAAACTCTGTCTGACAATCCGAGAATGTCTCCTTAGAACTGGTATTTATTAGTTTTTATGATTTTATTGATATTATAAAGAAAGCAAAGTGTTTGCTGACACTTTTGAATTGACGATGCACTTTTGAATTTTAAGATTGATTCACTGATAGCATACACAAGTGCTTTCTTGTGCAGTGCATCATGAAATGCACATCATTGGTTTAGAAGGTTAAAATGTTTGTCGAATATTATGCACTTTACAAGATAGTCTTCAACTGAAATGTGACCAATAACTTCAATAAAACGAGGCCATTTTTGTGCCAGTACCACAATCCGTACAACCATTATAAACGTTGGCTTCAAAATGGATACAATTTCGCCAATTAGTCCTTGGCTGTTAGCATAGCAGTTCATCACATGTAAAGTACGTTGTTCATAACAACTGTGATTCTCTCCTTGAAGTCATGTATCATATCGATCAGAATGAACCCCCTAATAATGTAAGTTGAAATGTAATTGCATATACAAAACGCCATTTTTCTACCTTAAATTTTACCTCTCATACGTTTACTTTTAGCTACGCATTGTTAAAAAACGCATCAGCACGTATTAAAATTGATGGACTGAATACATTGGACTACAGTGTTATCTCTTCACAAACCATGTACAACGGTTTACTTCATTGGATTTCCTTGGATATACCATCAGTGAGGAAGAGTCATTTATAGTGAAAGTGAGTTATTAAGTAAGATAAGTGTGTGCTGCGTGATTCTCTCGTGCTTGAGTAGTAATGAAATTGGTTCATTTGGTGTGAATTTGGTCAAAATATGAAATGACTTTTCTAGTCATATGGTGAGAACCTGATGAATAAGTACTAGGTTAATGTTACTGATGTCACTAATTCGTATGGAGGCTGAAAGCAGTGCTTTCTGATTTCAGTTAAATCATAACTGGAACATCAGTTGTCTCTGACAACTTAGTTGGAATATAGTCTATGTAGTTATTAGGAAGGCATCAATTGGAGTTCCGCGTTTCTCTTTTCTGTCATCGTTACCCAATATATCAAATCAAACCAACATTTGAAGGCCGTTCCAACTTCACTAATTGTGAAGTTAATGTAGTTAAACTCAGTAACAAACTAACTTCACTTCATCGCTTCGTCATCGATAAATTAAATAACATTATCAGTGAAGTAGTTTGTACGTGAACTCATATTACTTGATTTACTGCGAACAATAAGTCCAGCTACCTACTCCAATAAAGGAGTACTATCCAATGTCTCAGCGAAACACTGATTTGTCAGAAGGATTTCAAATCAACCATTCTGAGTGTCAACCAACTAAATTACCGTTCACCAATTCTAAGGTATATTAAGATGTATTAAGAGTCTTGAGAAATCACTTAGACAGATTATTCTGATTTCTGATTTGTTTGTTTTTAAATAAATAAATAAATTTATTCATGAGTAATTTTTTTATTCTGTTTTAATTAATTAATGTGTGAAGCAGTATTATTTAATGGATAACAATTTATTCTTCATAATCATATCACTTAATTTCAATATGAACAATGAATTGTGTTCGAAACGTCATCGGGTAAATGATACTGTTTCACTGTGTGATATATCTAATAAACAAATTGATATGGAATTACATACACCAACCACAGTGCCCAAGCGTCGTTACACGTGTATCAATGTTCATTCTGATTTTGTTTTCTCGTCTGAAATTAGGATGACCAGTTCGCTTTGTTTTCTTTTTGTAGATGGATGTACACTGATACAAGGTGAATTTGTCTGCTTAATATCATGAAAGACAGAAGCCAATTCATTCTGGTAATACACTTTGTTGATACAAGTGAATACACAGTCGATCTACACACATTTTACTTTTGGTTTTGTATAATAAAACTCGTCCTTGTATTCCTTGTATTCACCAAGTTCACAGCTTATATTCATATATAAATATAAATAATGATGTGTACAGGTATACAATAAATGTATTATCTTAGTCTTTTCTTCTTAAATCTTTCTGCCTAACATGCGAACGAGTTTGCAAGATTTTCAACACACAATTCACGTTCACTTAATTCTTTTGATTGTATTTACATGAATGGGTAAACGTATTATGGCAATACATATTTTGTTTATCCTAAAATTGCTTTACTTAGCGTCTTAGAATGTAATGACAACTGTAATAAATGTCCCTTATACTTATTCCTTATTGTAAGTGTTTTAGATTTTGCGAATGCATTAAAAACAAAACCAATATTATTTTTTTCCTGACGTTTCGTTATTTAATGCTGCTAATAGCTCTATCAAATTTTTATTAAACCAGGGTTCACAAAATCTTAGCTAATATATAACAACATAATCCTCGTTCCCCAGCACGGGTTCGTACCTGCGTTGTCAAATTGGTAAATTGGTAAAGACAACAAAACCAGGTGTAAATTATTGAATTTGATAAGTCTGTTATATTGTAAAAGCAGCATGTGTTTACATAATGAAGCTGATTATTACATTCGTTCAGTCCATCACTTATATTCAGAATATTTGCATTCCATTAGATATGAAGTGCTTCTGATATTAGACGTTCTTTGTGATTTATGAAATTCTTAAGGATTATTTGAATATTGTCAAAATCAATTTTGTGGCCTGAATCTATACTATGTATACCTATGGCCGATGATTTTCCCAGTTTTCTAGTTCATCTACGTTTTTCGATGGTCCAACGGATGTTCTACGCTGTTCATTTCTTCTGGTTTTGATTACTCACTAACGAGGTTTGTCCGATGTACATCCCATCACATTCCAAGTAAGCATTTTATTTTACAGACACAATCAGGTAGAGAAACATTAAGGATTTGGTCTTTTATATGGACAAGTTTGCTTCCCAGTGTGTCAGATGTTTTGAAGAAACTTCTGATGTCGAGCTTATTAAGTATTCTTCTGATATCGTCTGATGTCTTTGCTCTATATGGAATGACAGCTGTTGAGGTCCATGTTTTCGGAATACGTTTTTGACCATATATGATGTCAGTGTTGATTTGGTTGATGAAGTTCTATGAGTAGCTATTTCGATTGAGAGTCTCAGTTATGTTTGATATTTCTTGTTTTTCTGTCATATCTCATCAAAGAGTGTGATCGTCTAAGAAGACCTGATGCAACCGCTTCTTTTTTGCCGATGGTGTGTGATGATCGGAAAGCCAAATATATAACATGCTTCTAAAGGTGTTCGATTTGGCAACAGATGAATGGAGTTCGATCTTTGATGTTCTTGAATTATCTGTGTGGATTTGAATGCATCAAAGACGAAACTCCAAAAATCTATTACCATAGCAAACAAGTTCAGAAGCATGTTCATATGATACAGTCATACATAATGACTTATTGTCCGTGATTTAAGTGTGAAAAACAACTGCGTTCCTCAAATATTGCTGGCCAATGCTAGACGTTGTTTTATGAAGAAACAAACTGAATTTCTTCAAAATCATTAGCGATTACAACAGACCTTCTCACTCTTTCTGACACTGTTAGCATGAGAAACACTCGACAGTCATCAGTTACAACCAACATTTGAGAATGTGATAAATAACCTTTACACCAACACCAAGGACTAGATGCATGGCACTGGTTACTCCATATTGAGGAGTAACTGTACCGATCGCAGTCATACAGGAGGTCAATCGTGAGCCCAGATAGCTCACTGATTCGCAGTGTGGATGCAGCTGCGATTGATGGCGATTCGAATCCAAGGGTATGCATTCGTTCCTCGCAGCTTGTGGGCACACCTTCCTGACGATATAAGAATAAAACTTGTGCACTGTGGTAGAGTGTAATTCTATTATGGGTAAATTTTGTTTGATAAAGTCTCACAGCGTTATACAGTAATTGTGCTCGAAACGTCATCAGTAAACATTACTGTATAACGCTGTGAGAATTTATCAAACAAAATTTACCCATAATGGAATTGCTGACGAGTGTCAACAAGTGTCGCGAGAATCAGATCAAGGGCTACTTTCCAGTCGCCTTCAGCCATCTAACACACTGATACCTGGTTGATTGGATTGCAACAGAGAAAATGATATGCATTATTGCTTCATGGATTACTTATGATGAATTTCAGAGGAGAATTCATTTCGGCTTCCTAATAAATACACTGGTGACGAAGAGGCGAATTAAGTGAGAATACTTTGTGAACATAATAAACCGATGTGGAGAGATTATCGCATGATTTTCAGATAATTGTGTATTTAAATAACCGAGTTCGAGCCCAGTGATCATAATAGTGACAAACATAAACTCTGTTCTGAACTTGGATTCAAATGTAATGCAGTATACAGACGACTGGTATTTGTCACCATAATTTGTATGGTTATCAACACTAATTTGTGTTTTCGAAAGCTCATTCAGTAAATGATACTGTTTCACTGTGTGATATATCTAAGAAACAAACTTATATGGAATTCGTCAAGTTTATTATGTATGCACTTTACTCAGAAGAGAATGTTAAGCCTTCTGTGTTCGGATCATCAGCATCGTTCGAAAAACATAAGATCCAACAACGATTTTGTTGGCCACCGCTTCATTGCAACAACTTCACGTGTAGGCAGAATGGTATTTATGTGGCAGTTGTATGAGTTTGTTGAATGAATATAATCACCCACCATCGAAAAGATGGGGATTTCATAGGCTGGTCGTTTTTGTATTCATGTTTTTGCACACGTGTCCGCCCTCAATTCTGTTCAACAATATTATGACATTTAAGAAGATATCGTTAATTTCGACACCATTTATGTGCAGGCAGTATCAATTTTAACAGATTATCCGGAAACGACAAAAACGTCATTCAGGATGCAATGAAGTTGAATGAATAAATATAACAAGACTCGATGTAACATTCGGGACGATTATAGCCTTCGTTTTAACTCGAAATCCAGTATCTTGTAATACTACTCACTAGACCAACTAACTGCCTTGTGAAAATCCAATTTGTAGCTGATCACCCACACTCTATCCTTACATCATAATCTCAAGACTAGTCAACCATTGCGGTCTAGTCATGATCAAATATCTCACCAAATGGCGAGAAACAGCATGCTACTGTGGTCGCAAGTGAGTCCACTGACAACTTGATTTCTCATCTTGACGCCCCTCATATACTGAAATTCGACAGAGTCAACTTACCACTAGAACATGCGATGCAGTGGATATCAGTAAAACTCACACCACTCCCTACCATTCACCAAGTAAGGGTGTAGTGGGATGCACCCAAAGGACAGCAATGAAGGTCTGTAGTTTGTTTTATGTGCTCTTTATGACGCGCAGTGCAAGTCTCTGATCTGTATAGTAGCACTGAATTCACATTGGAGTTGAAAATCCGGATCTTATTTTTCATGCTGAGTGCTGTTGACCTCCACACAGACTTGAGAGTAATGAAGGCTTGTCTTGCTTTCCCGATTCTGGCTTTGATATCCTCGTCAGTTCCGCAGGCCTGTAGTTGAAACGAAGCTTCCCAGGTAGGTCAGTGAAGGAGGTTGTTTCTTTCAGGTCCCTCCCATTTATGCTGGCTGATGGTTGTCTGTTGTTGTTGCTGTGGCTTTCGGCCAGGAACCTTCATCACCTCTGTTTTCTTGATGTTCACCTGAAGTCCTATCTTTGATGCTTCTTCTGCCAACTTGTTGCTTTTCACTTGCATATCTTCCAGTTTGTGGGAAGTTAGACATATAT